TTGGCACACCTCACATTCGTACACTAAAGGCAAACGGAAATTCATTGTAGCCTACATTCTGTATCCCCTACCCGGATCCCCATGTGACTCCTTTTTTCGATGTGTAACGATTCATCTATGTAAACATCCTATGGGACAAGAGAAGCACCAGCTTGTAAGCTATTCCCATAATAAAAGTTTGACTTTGAAACTTTGAAAGAGCACTGAAAAACCTTTTGGAATCATCAGCATGCGTACTACACTCAAGTCTATGCGCAAACTTGAAGAATTAATGTTCGGGTACAGTGTCGATTAGAAATACATTGGTACGTGGCGAGCATCGAACTCCCACGGAAAAAGAATAATAAAATAAAATAAATGCGCAGGGTTCGGCGTTTGATAATTTCCATCGAATACAGAAGAAAAATTTCCACAATAATAATGAAATCAGTGAAGGCTAGTATCACCTAATTTTAGAACAATTATCGAGCTTATTTTTCATGTGTGGATTTGGTTGTTTTTCGTCTTGTCAATATTAAGAATTTAATCTATGAAGCTATTTTCTTCTATTAAAAAATGAAACAATTATTGTGTGATCTTCGACTGAATAAAAAAAACCGATGCGGAACATAAAAAATTTAATATTTAAGCTAGTACTATTTCAAAATAGGACTCGACAATGAGGAGCTTCGAAAGAAACTTCGGAACGAGGAGAAAAAAGAAGACACTGTAGCATAGTTAGATATAGATTTACAATGGTTTAGTCGCTATCACCAGTTCAGTTCAGTTCACCTGCTCCATTACACCCCTAGTTACAATGAGTCTGGGTGCTTCACTAACCCAGTCTTGTATTAACATGTTCCACTTGAAGGTGCAAAACGCATACCGAACATGGCTACGCTGGCGCTCAAGCTATTCCGAAAAGCTTGCAACTTACCTGGATCTTCGCTTGGCAGCACAGTGTCGTCTGCATTATCTAGATCAGACAGTCTGCTACCCGGGAGTAAATCAATCCCGCTATTCTCGCACGAGGATCTATGAAAAATTTAAATAAAAAAGGAGAGGGAGGGCAACCCTGTCGAACACCACTTTCCGTGGTGATCTCGGGCGAAAAAGTGCCGCAAGCCCGACTCGACTTCGGCTATTAGTATTAAGAGATCGTAAAATTGAAATAAACTTCTCGGGCACACCCTGCAAGGAAAGACAGCGCCAGAATTTAGACCGGTCGACTGAGCTGAAAGCCGTTTTCCAATCGAGAAAAATAGAGATGGTGAGTCAACGAAAAGAATATCGATGCTCCATAATTTGGCGGAGAGTGAAGATGTGGTCGATACAACCTCGACCAGGTGTAAATCCAGCCTGGTTCTCACGCGTGCACCGTTCACGTGCGGTAGATCATCAAAGGAGTATGATGCCAGTGAGCAGTTTAGAGATGATGTTCATTAAACTAATTCCTTTGTGGTTTTCACACGGGGATCTATCGCTATTCTTGTGGATTGGTATGATCACCGATTCGCGTCATTCAACTGGAACGCCTTCTCTTTCCCACACTGAGCCCAGGCGTTTCGTCAACTCCGTCACCGGTCTGCTTTGGACCCTATGGTCCGAGTTCCACCACCACCACCCAACTTTGGTGGTAAGCAGCTTTGCTGTCACCCGGTTATATACCACGCCTGACCTAGCAAGATCTTATTTGGTTCGCCACTCCAAGTCCTGGGGTTTAGGTTACCGGTATCCATCACTGAACAGCAAGTTCTCGTGTTCATGGGGTTCGCTCCGTCATACATAGGTGTTATAAAAAAATAAAAAATCAGCCTGTGTTGAAACGCCGCGGACCATAACGCCGAATTATGACAGAAACTATAATGGTTAGATTCACTCAAGAGCAACTAACCAAGATGTGATTTCGACCTGACTAAAAAAAGAAAACCAATCAGAAGCAAGTCTGTCCAGTGACCAATTTCAATAGAAAAGACCCAATTGCAATACTCCACGATTCATGTCCAGGACGATTTCGCTGCATCTCAACATGGTGCATATTGCAGAAAAACATCAGTTATATAGGAAATTAGCATGGCAACTAAGAAGAGTAAAATACAATGAAACAGACAAACATAAAACAGGGAGGGGTTAAAAAAGACTGTCACCAAGGTAAGGATAAACTAACACCATGTTGAGATGCAGCGAAATCGTCCTTGACATAAATCGTGCAGTATTGCAATTTGTTCTTTTCTTTTTAAAACCGATCAGTCACGAAATATAAGCCTCTAATATGCTAGATTTTATTCCGATTGAGTCATAATGTGTTTACGTTGGGGAATTTCCTGATATTGCGGATAATTAATGATTTCGTAATTAGTGTTCAGATAGACAATTCACCCTATTTACTCGAACGTTCAATGTGCGAAGCAAACGGGAACGAAGCCAACCGTCAGTTTAATACATACGCTACACGGTCCACCGATTATGATCGTTTTTCTTATTTGGGGCCTTAATCATTTGACGTCGAGTCTTAACTATCTATTCTAAAAGGAATAACGGATGGATACCGGACCGGTGAGGGACTGGGAGTAGCATTCGGCGATGACCAAATGAATCTGAGTGCACAAAAGCGATCGCAAACAGTGAGACAACTGCGGAATCAACTAGGCGCTACCGATGAACTGCTCACATGACAGTAAAACACCGAAAACATGGTTTACGCTGTATTCTTCTCTTTCTCTTTTCTAAGAGTGCGACCGAAAACCATTGTACAGATGTCGGTTTTCAGGGACGATAATGTATGCGATAAGCGCCATAGGGGGACTATTTGCACCAACTACCCGACTTCCGAGTTCGATTCGTTGATATGATATGTTGGTGTACACGAGTGTGTGTGCATGCGCGCGGTGATTAGATTACCGGTCACCTAGTACGACTGCAGAAACCGCGAGTCTGATTACTGCATGAACACTGTATGGCTATTGATAAAACAAGAGGGGGGAGGGTGTTTGTACAACGGTCATAAAAACCATTACTCATAGTCGCTATCTTCACTCGACTGTAATGGCTGTGGTGCCCGTCCGCTAGTGCTCAAATCACTGGAGTGAGGGTCAGCATTGAACAATTTGTTGTGTACTCGCGGAGCTGGCTGAGTGACAAGGAGATCACGGACCATGTGTAACAGACGGCCCTCATCAGAGCTTGGATCCCAATAAGTGGTGCTCGGTCGGTTGAATTTCCTCAGTAGCAACTGATCAAGGCTACCGCGCAATTCCTTTTGTTTCGAGAATGTGGATCGCATTCCGCAGACAAAGCACGAGGGAAGAAAAACGGGATGCAAACGAGACAGTGCATGCAACGTATAATGCGAAAACGAACAGAGTCAAACGTGTAAGAAATATGAGATATGGATAAAGGTGATTCAACGAAACATTTCTCTATGCAGGGTGAAAAAGAATATGGACCAGACCATCCAATGAGGATTCTGCATGTGGAGCAAAATGTGTTACACTTGTCCTTCAGGGTGCTAGTGATGCGCTTGGCAGTTTGAAAAATACGTAAACAATGAGCTTGAAATAAGAAATAAATATGTTCAATCCATCAGATCACGTGGAGCACCCCGGAAAAAGTGTATGATTGGCATTTCACTAGTATACTCACGTACCTCAAAGATTCCATGATGATGAAACGGAACACGCTCAGTATACTGCTGTTATTATTGCATCACGTGCATGCTACAAATCACAGTGGACTACAGCAAAGACGAGTTAACAGAACGCCTCATTATTGGAATGGAACAATTAACAAACACTACAATTGAAATAACACGTACGGAACCATGAGCTACATCGAAACAACAGTCGGACGATCGATGGTACTCGAAATGGTTGTATGCGTGGCGGTGCCTTTGAATTCAATCATTCTATTACGTTCGGATAGTGTTCTTATGAACCTATTCATCAACGGTTGCATTGTAACAAAATTCAACTTCACCCGGCATAACTTATACAAGCATTCTTATGTATCACCTGTGTTGCGGCGTACTCTGTCAGTTGTATGGAATATGGTCACATGAAATATATTGATGAAATGAGAAACAAGTTCAGTAGGAGAATCTGAAGACTTGCTGACAGAATAGAAAACATCACGGACACTGATAAACGGGTTCTGCCATAGTGGAGTGCTGTAAAAATAAACGAATTCTCCATTTTAGAGTGTAATATTTCCCTTTCTATTGGGAAACATTAGAGAAGTGGAAAACAACACTAGCAAAAGGCAATCATTATTCTGCATGAACCTAGGATGCACAAATAAATTGAAAGCAATTTGTACCCCTGTATGGTTTGGATTGATATCGGGCTATCCGTCAACAAGTGGCCCCAATTTGTGGCAAGTTGTCGTTAATCACGTCAACACCAACAACTGCGATAAATCGACTGCCTTGATCTATGATTACACGACTGATAAACGAAATTCTCGCCCTACTAAAGGGTTCCATGCGTGGTTGGAATATGAACTTGCCACCTAAGAAATAGACATCTAAATAAGCATCCTTCCTATCGTTTGTCCACCACCGTGATTGCACGGATAAGTGACACCTCGAGCATTTTATTGGACATTTTTAATGCACCTTTTCGAAGAACGCTAGATGTAGCTTCGCACCACTAGGTATTTTTACATACAGACCTAAATTTTTCATTGTTTAGGGACGTGCACAGCTAAACATATGTTTGACTGATTAAAGTAAGACTAGGCGGCACACGAGATAAGGGGATAAACCAGGACAAAGAATCAAGAGAATTGTTCAATGGATAAACTAGAGAAGTTGAGTTCTGTGATTGCTACAACAGATTTTTTCATGTTTTCAGACAGCCCCTCCCCCTTTCTTGGGCATATTATTGATTATTTTAATTATATGTTTGATCTATGTTGCCCATTTTAAATTGGATTCATCCCCACGAATAGATGTTTATCACTATCACTTGAACAACTACGTAAGGAGAAATAACTGACCTATAAACCGGAACAGAGAAAACATAAATAAGGCTTACAGGACTGATCAAATAGAAGAACAATCATCTGAATAAGTGGTAGACAGATACCACTCTGGAGAACTTCAGTTGCAGTGGCACGTGGAGAGCTATAAAACGCATATATCACAGTACCAATAATAAGAGTAATCGAATGTGCGTGTAGTGCACGTCACAAGCACAAAGCTGGAAAAGAACAACAGGAGATGCCGTTTACAGTTCGCGCGCTGATCTATCAAATCCATGATTCCATCATTAACATTTTTAGCTTACCTTGAGCAAAGTGGCAACCTTCGACTCCGCCTGAATTTGGATCCAATCGCCAACAATCAAAGCGCAATCCCCTTCCTAGGATCATGAAATGGAGCAGAATGGGAAAGTTTAAAGCGCATCATAAAAAGCACTATCAGAGATACCAAAAGTAGTACACTGATTGTTAACAGCTACGAAATCACAATAGGCACCAAGTTGAATCAACCACGTAGATATGAAGAGATGGTGGAGCCATAAAATACATGAATGTGGAAGAAACTGCTGTAACCAACATCCACAATGAAAAGCGGATTTCTTTACGCCTTTCAAAACAACCAGCTAAAACTGGCAAACCTGTCACCGCTTTTGGTTTCAAGTAGTCCCCTGATGTATCTATTCCAAATGCATTTGAATCCTAATCGGGATTAGTAAAACGAAGATAAACCGACTAATGAGTCTGTTATCCAACGAGTCTTGTGGTCCCGATGGTGCAGCACCGCTTGTACCTTGGGATCGTGATACTTCTCGTTTGTAAAAAAATTTCAGGAAAAGAAAAACATTCCCTCTTTTATTGCACACGAAATGATTTACAGCAAAGGGATAACCCCCCCCCCCAATCAATGATATACCGTAAGGGGGAAGAATGTGGAGAAAAACTGAAGTGAGAACCAATTTGTTAACCCTGCTTTTGAAAAGGGCAAGGTTATAAGTGCTGGGAAACACGAAAATGGGAAGTGTTCCACAATTTCGCAGTCCCCGGGAAAAAAGAAGATTGAAAGATAGAAGTCCGACATCTGGGGACAGAAACCTGATGAGGGTGACTGTCCCCGTGAGAACGAGATGGACGAGAGAAGGTCAATGGAAGGAGAACCGAAGAAGCGAGTTCGGAAGAGCAGCAACCAAAATAGTAACGATAGAAAAGAGATAACGAAGCAACTGACCGGCGATGGAAAGGCGACTGCAAGGTGGAAGTTAAAAACGGTTCGTCGATCAGTCGGATGGCTTGACGTTGAACACGGTCGAGGAGAGAAAGAGCGAAATACGAAGCTCTACTCCATAAGTGACTGCAGAATTCAAGCATTGTATAAAACAAGGTGCTTGGGTGTAAAGAAATACCTTGAGCAGAATAGAAAACCAAGTTTGCGCGCAGCGCGAGAGGCAAGTGTAGAGATAAAAGCGGAGCAACAGAGAGAAGAATTTATAGATATCCAAAAGGAAGAGAGAATTTGTGGAACGAGGGATTAGCGAATCAAAAATCAATTGAGAAAAGGAGACATGTTTAAGAAAGACTGAGGGGAGAGAAGTTTTGGAAGCATTGAAACACACACGGTTAGTAGAACCCCATGCGGAGATTAGTCCGAGATCGGAGGAGAGAGGCATTAATGACATTACGAACGCGATCGATGTTGGTGTTGGCTTGACGGAGTGTGGAGTCTCTCTTTCTTGTTTTTGCCTTCTTCTACTTCTTTTTTATATTTATTGAATATACAAATGTGCAGTCAGCTTTCAAGAAGGGGGCTGCGGCAATACAAAGGCTGCCTGGGGAAAATACAGATATA